GTGGCAGATCAGGATTGAGGGGCACCGGCAGAGCTGTGTGTGGGGAGCACAGAGGGAATAGCAGTGTGCGTGGCAGTTCAGGATTGAGGGGCACCGGCAGAGCTGTGTGTGGGGAGCACAGAGGGAATAGCAGTGTGCGTGGCAGATCAGGATTGAGGGGCATTGGCAGAGCTGTGTGGAGAGCTAACTGCAGCTCCTACCAGTACAGTCTGGTTCTAGCCAGCACTATCAGGAACTTCTCATTAATATGAAAACCAGCTCCTGTGTTTGTCACAGCCAGTGCTGCCGTGCGGCTATCACTCCATCTTGAGTGTCTGGGTGAGGGGCGGGATACAGATTATATCTGTCTTCCTTGTTTTCATGATCGGAACTAGCCAACAGCTGGGGTGTGACCTCTGCTTCTGATGGGTGGTAGTGAAGGTCAGTTTCAGCCTGCAGGCTAGTTAGGGGAAAACCTGCTAAGCTGAGCATGGTCTCTTGCATGCAGCACATGTGCAAACAGCTTGGGGCAGTGTATTTGTGTAAAAAAACCACACATCCCTGCATGTACTCTGGTCCTTCTCAGTGCTCTTTTCTAAACCCCTCTGGTTCTGCAGAAAAGGACCTGGGGATTACAGTGGACGAGAAGCTGGATATGAGTCAGCAGTGTGCCCGTGTTGCCAAGAAGGCCAACAGCATATTGGGCTGCATTAGTAGGAGCATTGCCAGCAGATCCAGGGAAGTGATTATTCCCCTCTATTCGGCACTGGTGAGGCCACATCTGAAGTACTGTGTCCAGTTTTGGTCCCCGCACTACAAGAAGGATGTGGACAAATTGGAGAGAGTCCAGCAGAGGGCAACAAAAATAATTAGGGGGCTGAGGCATGTGACTTACGAGGAGAGGCTGAGGGAACTGGGGTTATTTAGTCTGCAGAAGAGAAGAGTGAGGGGAGATTTGATAGCAGCCTTCAACTACCTGAAGGGGGGGTTCCAAAGAGGATGGATCTTGGCTGTTCTCAGTGGTGGCAGATGACAGAACAAGGAGCAATGGTCTCAAGTTGCAGTGGGAGAGGTCTAGGTTGGATATTAGGAAACACTTTTTCACTAGGAGGGTGGTGAAGCACTGGAATGGATTACCTAGGGAGGTGGTGGAATCTCCTTCCTTAGAGGTTTTTAAGGTCAGGCTTGACAAAGCCCTGGCTGGGATGATTTAGTTGGGGTTGGTCCTGCTTTGAGCAGGGGGTGGGACTAGATGACCTCCTGAGGTCTCTTCCAACCCTGATATTCTATGATTGATTGTGTGTGTGTGGTGCGGTGACCAGTATGGTGCACAGTATCCAGACGAGGCTGCTCCAGTGATTGATATAAAGTTGTTAGAATGTTCTATGTTGTTCTCCATCCCAGGCCTTATGCATCCGAACATCTTTTGCTTTTCTGACCACAGCTGCACATGGAGCTGAGGTCTCTGTTGAGCTGCCCATAGCAACATTGTTATGTGTTGCCCATTCTCCTGGGTTGGTCAGTTGTCTCTGAAGTTCCTTGCTGCACGCTCCCTTTCCAGATATTTAATAAATACATTAAACAGCACGGGACCTTGGACAGTGTCTTGAGGCCCTGCTGTTTGCCGTTCAACCCTACTCATTGCTTTCTGTCGCCTAGGCAGTTTTTGATGCGTGACAATACTTTGCCTCTCGCCCCGTGACGATATCAATTCAGTTTGTCGGGTACAAAAGGCACGCAGGTGTATAATTCCGCAGGTCACCCCATGAACTGCTTAAATATGGGCACATTTGCCTCCCTTCAGTTCCCTGAAACAGTGGCTGATGCCTGTGATGTCAAGGACCTCAGTCAACTGCCAAACATTCTACAGCTCCTAGTTTTGTTTTTAAACTCCTTGCATTTGTATAGAAACTCTTCTAGATTTGTTTTTGACTAAGGCCTGGTCTACACTAACACCCCAATTCGATCTAAGGTATCAACTTCAGCTACGTGAATAACGTAGCTGAAGTCGACATACCTTAGTTCGAATTTACCGCGGTTCAGACGCGGTCCACACACGGCAGGCAGGCTCCCCCGTCGACTCCGCGGTACTCCTCTCGCTGACGTGGAGTACCGCAGTCGACGGCGAGCACTTCCTGGTTCGAATTATCGCGTCCACACCAGACGCGATAAATCGAACCCGGAAGTTCGATTGCCAGCCGTCGAACTACCGCGGTAGTGTAGACAAGCCCTAATAATAATTCCTAACTCCTGTATGGTGCTTTTTTAAGATGAGGTGTGATTTGTATTTAATTCCTTTATAGGACACTCTGCTGATTTTGCAGACATTGCCTGTGTTCTTACCTCTTGTCGCAATACTCCTCAGCACAGGGACTGTCTCTAGCTGTATGTGCAGTGTATGACAGGACGGAGCCCCTTTAGACCCGATGGTGTTTCATTCAATAACCCTCCCAAGGGGCTGGCTGCTTGCTCTGGGCCCCTTAACGTGCAGAGGGTGGGGTTCCCTGGTAGCTCTGCTGCACTGGCTAGCAGAAAACTCTAAAATGCTGCAAGTTTGTCTGGCTCGTGTAACTCAATAGCAGGAAGGATTTTCCTCAACTTTGCTCCCCAGATTTGCTTCCAGGCTGAGGCCAAGCGTGGAGCAGGGAGCGAGCGCTCTCAGGGAGTTGGTCAGAAAGCTCTGTGAGATCTGGGGCTGCAATGGAAGTCCTGGCCCGAGAGTGGTGAATGGCAGAGCTGAAGGCAATGAGTGTTGGGCAGATGCCATCACCCTGGGACCCAAGCGAGAGCGCTCCATCCTGGGGCACGTCACATTCTTGATTTCTCGGTTGAAAGCCCTTGTGGAAATGAGGAACACCTTTGCCCAGAGCGGCAGTTGTGCAAGGCAGCACTCCCCACCGCCTCCCGCTGGTGTACCTTTCTCGCTCCCTCCCCACTGCGGTTTCCTGGCATGTTCCAGTTGTGAATGTGCAGCGAGGTGACTCGCTGTGAGACAGCATCTTCCTAGGAAGAGTTTCACTTTAACGGCACTTCTCTGGTCTCTCACTGGAGTCAGAAGCGACTTAGCCTGGTATCTTAGCATGTGTCTAACCCCAGCTGGTACTTTAATCTCTCCAGCTGGCATTCCACAATGACCCCCCGCTCCCAACAAGCTCCCTGCACCCCTCTCCCCCAGGGAGCAGCCTTGATAGAAAGGGTGGGTTGAGGGTGTCGTGCATTTTCTGTTAGCTGCCCAAACCTAGATGGCACTTCAGAGAACAAATGAGTCTACAGTCTGCGCATAGACCAGGCCAGAGTGATTCTCCGCTACAACAATGAGACTGTGGCTCCTTTGGTTTTCCTGTGGCCATCAGGCCCTCAATGGGGACTTCTTAGTAGTGACCGTGTGTAGCGCAGCGGCGCTGAATTAGACAGTCCAGCAGTTTACCTCACTAGTCCTGCAGGTGGCTGGTGTTGCAGTCCTAGGGTAGGTGTAGCTGTGACAGGTTGGATCACAGAAACCCCCTTGGGAGCTGCCACCTGATGTGCCAAGACTACTTCTACCCCTGCTTTCCCTGCCAGCTCGGGACCCCAGCACCCCGTCTTGCTGAGCCAGACACGCCCGTCTGCTCCAACACAGACCCAGGGTCTGAATCACGTCCCCTAACAGCTGTAGGCTTGACTGAAAGCAGCTTACAGAGTGTTCTTGTCTTTAACACTTAGATGCCCAACTCCCAATGGGGTCTAAACCCAAATAAATCCGTTTTACCCTGTATAAAGCTTATACAGGGTAAACTCATGAATTGTTCGCCCTCTATAACACAGATAGAGAGAGATGCACAGCTGTTTGCCCCCCCCCAGGTATTAATACATACTCTGGGTTAATTAATAAGTAAAAAGTGATTTTATTAAATACAGAAAGTAGGATTTAAGTGGTTTTAAGTAGTAACAGAACAAAGTGAATTACCAAGTGAAATGAAATAAAATAAAACACGCACATTTAAGCCTAATACAGTAATACAATTGAGTACAGATAATATCTCACCCTGAGAGATGTTTTAATAAGTTTCTTTCACAGACTGGACGCCTTCCTAGTCTGGGCACAGTCCTTTCCCCTGGTACAGCCCTTGTTCCAGATCAGGTGGTAGCTAGGGGATTCCTCATGATGGCTCTCCCTCTTTGTTCTGTTCCACCCCTTTATATATCTTTTGCATAAGGCAGGAATCCTTTGTCCCTCTGGGTGTCTCTCCCCCCTCACCCCTCCCCCCGCCCCCCAATGGAAAAGCACCAGGTTAAAGATGGATTCCAGTTCAGGTGACATGATCACATGTCACTGTAAGACTTCATTACCCACTTGCCAGCACACACGTATACAGGAAGACTCACAGGTAAAACAGAGCCATCTGCTGTCAATTGTCCTGGTTAATGGGAGTTATCAAGTTTCCAAACCACCATTAATGGCCCACACTTTGCATCATTACAATAGGCCCTCAGAGTTCTATTTCATATTTCTAGTTTCAGATACAAGAGTGGTACATTTATACAAATAGGATGATCACACTCAGTAGATTTGATACCTTAACAAGAGACCTTTTTGCATGAAGCATATTCCAGTTACATTAGCATATTTTCGTAAAATCACAGAGTGCAACATCACAGTAGCTTTGCATCTCTTGTATCTTATCAGACAGCCTGCCCCATGGGAGGCAAGGTGGGAGGCACAGGGCCTTCAGCAGGAAGTGCCTTCTGACCTGGAAGTGCTACGCTATGAACTATGAAGCATGTTAGCACAAATTCAGGCAGCCTGTTACTGGCTAGACCAGAGTGAGTCACCCCCCATGAGGAACTCCAGCATACCCTGCCTCATTGCCTATTTGTTTGGTTCATAGTCTGGAAGACAAGAAGGGACCAATTAGAGGAGTCGTAGATGTATTCACAGCTGTCAGGGCACCCCTTGGGTTTGAACTCAGGACCTCTGGCAATGCAAGTGAGGCCCATGCTGCCAGGCTGCCTAGCTACTTCTGAAATCAAACTGCAGCCTTTCTCCTCGTTAGCCTCCCTCCACTTCCACGGAAGCATGGTGATTGGAGTGGGTGGCGCTTAATGGGGATGTACCAGATGAGCAGTAGTGACATGAGACGTGTGCCGTGATGCAGAGGTCCTACTGGGCTCATGTCTTGAGGCCTTTTGACACGTTCGGAAATGCTTGGGGATCATGTGGGCTGTAGGTAAGTGTCACTCATCCTCTCATCTGCTTGGCTTTCTCCTCAGGCGTACCTGGAATCCTTCTACAAGTTCTGCAGCATCCTGGGAGGCACGACTGCAGACGCCATGTGTCCAATCCTGGAGGTAGGCTGCAGACGGGACATTCTGCATGGTATAATGTAACAGTAATCGCACCGTGCGCTGCTCAGCGCGCTCCAGCCAGAGCAGAGCTGCCGATTGACCGCAGAAATGTTGGTTTCTAAAATTCCTTTGCACCTCCGTGCATGTGGCTAGCTGGCTTGGTTGGGTAGCCAGGAGAAGCTGTTGCTAGCACTGGGAAGTAGGTGATGTCGCAGCAGGCCCCACAAACACCTTCCCACTTTGCCCTCCGCCAGAAATGCGAAAGGCCTGGGAGGTGGTGCATTTTGGCTCGGAGCGGAGCCCGGGAACAGAGCAAGTTATGAAGCAGTTGGAAGGGCAAAGGGTGGGATGTGGCTCTCCCCAATCCTGGCAGCCAAGCCCATGAGTATTCCTCCCACGGGTCTCTGCTCAAGTGGCCCGGCACATACCTGTCCTTGGGCGCACTCTGCCCCTCAGCCAAAGGGACTGGTGGACACCTCTTGTCAGGGCTGATTCCCCACTCTGGCACTTCGAGTGCAGAAGGTGGGGGCCTGCAAGGATTCAAAAAATGAATACTGGCCACTCCAGGCTTGTATTAAACTCCCAAGGTTACAGCTTTTCTCTGTCCTTGGCTGCGTAGATGCTGCCACTACCCAAGTGCAAACCCCTTGGAACCCAGGAAGGCGCACTTGGGAATTTCTCCCTGTGGGTACCCTGGAGCCCTTTCTCACATGCACGCGCCCCGTCCCCCCCCGGGGAAGAGCTGAGGAAGAAAACAAAGGAAATTAGCTGTTACCCCCAGCTAATCAAACATGCACAAACCTCTTAGGACACCAAAAATTCAATCCTGTTCTTAAAAATAAATAAAAAGGTAAATTTTATTAAAAACAAAGAGAGAAAATACATCTGGAACTTAGGCTTTTGCTAGATTTTAAAAGAGCAATGCCAAACATTAAGCACCCAAAATAGCTTCCTTCGGGGTTCAGCTTAAAGGTTACAAGCAAACAGAAGCACTTGGGGTTAGCACAGAGGAGTCCACCAGCCAATAGAAATAAACAGAAATAAACCTAATCGCGTCTTTCTAAACATTTCTGATCTACTTACACATCTGGGGGTTCCAAATAAGCTCATGCTAGGTATGAGCTGATGCTCTATGATCATACCTGGCTTAACGCTTCTCATAGCATAACTGCTCCCTGTTCCCCTCTTTCCCAGAGAACAGCAACAGACACAAAGGGGACGTTTTCCCCCCATTTTAAAAAGTTCTAGCCTTCCCATTGGTTCTTTTGGTCAGGTGCCCACTCCCTTTCCTTTTACCTGGGGGACTTTTTAACCCTTTACAGGTAAAGCAAGCGGAGAGCAGCCACCAAGAGGGACTTTGTCCATAAAAGGGAGCTACTTCCCCCCCACATTTCTCCCCCCTCCTGTGGCCAGAGCTTTCCCACACCTTGTCTCTGTTGCGAACTCCTAGCAATGGAGTGCAACGCTGGGCCTCTTGCAAGGCTGTCTCCACCAGTTCAGCCTCGTTCCCTGTGACTATTGCACACTAGTGCCGAGGAGCCGGAATCCGAACAGTGATTCTGCAGACGGGCTGCACAAATCTGTGCCTGGCTTTAGAAAATCAACCCTGGGGCAGTGACTGCGTGTAGCACCCGAGTGCAGTAGGTGGGACAAGCAGTTCATTTGCTAGCACCGAGACCAAACCGATTAGTCGAGACGTGGTCCCCAGGTTTTCAGACCATCGCTCCCGGTTCCCGAGCGCTCCTCAGCCCGGCTCTGAAGCCAGGCTGCTCAGTAGGAACGGTGACTCTCCTCTGGCACCCGGCATTCTGCCCCACAAACAGCAGCTGGCTGGGGGGCTCTGGCCACGTGTGCCAGGCGTGTGCCACAGGCAGCGTAGCCTGGCCCTGCCGAGGGTGGCGGAACTGTGACTGGGTTGTGCTCTCACGTGCCCTAACGAAGCTGGATTTGCTCTTTATCACTGGCCTGGCCTTGCTCCATTCATCAGCCTGCAGCTTGAGCGCTGTATTTGCCAACTCCCAGCTGAAGGTTTGCGCTTTACCCAAGGGGGACGGGCGGGCACAGCACTGCCTAATGCCACTTGTCGGTCTCTTAGTTTGAAGCTGACAGGAGAGCCTTCATCATCACCATTAACTCGTTTGGCACGGAGCTCTCCAAAGAGGACCGAGCCAAGCTGTTCCCTCACTGCGGGAAGCTCTATCCTGAGGGGCTGGCCCAGCTAGCCAGAGCAGATGACTACGAGCAAGTCAAAACAGTAGCAGACTACTACCCTGTAAGTACCAGCGGGGGGTCCCAGGAGCTGACTGCTCTCCGCCATTGATCAGCGAGTTTGTGGCACAATATGCAGGGAGAAGGGGGATGGGGGCGGGATACCCTGGTGCATTTCAGGATTCGTCTGGCAGGGGCTCCTGTCACAGCAACGCTCCCTTTGGCTGAGAGAGGGCTGGACCGGGCTCCCTCGGCGCCGTGCTGGTTGCAGGGTGGGATACAAGGTGCAATTTTATATTTTTTTCCCTCTGTTGAAGAGCCTGAGTCTTCTGCTGCACAGGGTCATTGAGACCCAGTTCTGAGCCCCCATGTCTCCATCCAGGCTGTTCTCCCAGACCTGGCTGGGGTCACGGAGCAATAGGGGGGCACTCATGGAGGTGGGGGCTGAAGGGACCCCCCCCCCCCCGCCTTATGACTGGACCCTAGCGTTAGAATGCTGTATGGCGAGTGCCTCGAAACCTGCTGGGAGCCTGAGGATGGAGACCCGTCTCCTCTAGGATGATGCACCCCACGGCAGGCATCTGTAGCCAAGGGCTTGTCTCAACACACACTGCACTGGTTTAACGAAAGGTGCAACTGGTGGTGTGCCCTGATCTGCATGGGTTAGCTTGCACCTGTAAATGCTCCAGGAGCCGGGTTTAAAGCAGCGAGTGTCCACACAGAGCAGCCCTGGTTTATTCATAGACTCCAAGGCCAGAAGGGACCACTGGCTTCATCTAATGTGACCTCCTGCATAACGTAGACCAGAGAACTGTCCTGAATTAATTCCTGTTGGAACCAGAGCAATGAAATCCGTTTCATATTTGCACTTGTCTACACGCAAACAAGGCCCCAAATCTGCTGTCATTGACACCTGTAGTTTCAGTGCAAGCCTGTGTGGACGCTCTGACTCCAGATTAAGTGCCCTATTTCCAAATAATGTAAGTGGGTGGTAAATCATCAGTGCTTGCTGCAGAGAATCCTGGCCTTCCTCCGGGAGCCAGCCCAATGGCTGCTGCTGCCAGCCTGGTGGAGGGACAAGTCTGTTTCACTTCTGACTGTCGTTTCTTGCCATCTGTGGTGCAGGCTGCTGTGAGAAATTGCCCGGGATGAAAGGGTTTCTGTCTGGAGCTGGCATTTAGCTCCCCTCTGCAGGGTGGGAAAGAGGACACCCCCCCACACACACACCCACCCATGGGGGCTGGCTGATGTATGAGCATTCTGCAGGGAGGGACGATGCTGAGCCGGGTTCTTGTTTTGTGTTCCTTGACCCCTTCCTCTTGCCATAGGAATACAAACTGCTGTTCGAAGGAGCCGGCAGCAACCCTGGAGACAAAACCCTGGAGGACCGTTTTTTCGAGCATGAGGTGAGGGAAGGACCCTCTGTGGTGAGCCGTAGGAGCCGCTGCAGCTGCAGCGCTCAGCGGAAGTCTCCAGAGCATCTGCAAGCAGTCGCAGTCACACGGTGGGGGCGGGGCTACTGGCTCAGATGTTCTGGGCCGTGCCACCTGCCCCTGCTTTCCTTCCCAGGCCCTAGCTCCCTGCCAGGTGATTCGCCGTAGAACCTAGGGAACAACAATGAGACTTGCAAAGGGCTCTTGGGGCTTCCCCGGAAAGACAGCGGCAACCCAAACCTGGTGGGTATGTCCCTGTTCTCCTCCCCCACGCCACCCTCCTGCCCTGCTTGAGCTGGCAGCTGGTGCTCGAGGACAGGCTTCTCCTACGGACTCTGCCCAGGTGCTGAGCCTGCACTGCTGGTTGCACCAGGAGCTCCACTCTGGCTGGGGCCATTCACCCCAGGAGCTCCGTTCTCCGGAGCTGTGGGGCTGGGAATGGGGGTCTCTGAGGGGGGTGGCCCCCTGCTGGGAGGGGCAGTGCTGCAGGCCGTGACCCGTGCTCTTTGCTCTCGAAGGTGAAGCTGAACAAACTGGCTTTCCTCAACCAGTTCCACTTCGGGGTTTTCTACGCCTTCGTCAAGCTGAAGGAGCAGGAGTGTCGCAACATCGTGTGGATTGCCGAGTGCATCGCGCAGCGACACCGCGCCAAGATCGACAACTACATCCCCATCTTCTAACCGCCCTCGGCCCTCCTGCTGCCGGGTGGAGCCCAGTGGAACTGCCCTTCCCCCCAGTACATTCGAATGATCACTAGTCCTCGCTCCGGGGACGGCTCCTCTCTGGAACTGGCTCGGATGGAAACTGGACAGTCTGTTGTTCCAGAGCTGCCGTTGTTTGTGAGTTCTGTGTGCTGTGAGGGGCCAGCGGGGCCTGGGACAGGCGCTGGGCCTGTGCAGCCATGTAGCAGGAGGGCTCCAGTCCATGTATTATAATTGTACCTGTGTCACTGTACTGATCAGCTGTGTGTGCTTCACTGAGCGAGCCAGTGCTGATCTCTGAGGGAACTGGCATCTCTCAGCCATTCACTCCTTGCTCTCGAGTGACTCATTAGACATGTGTTGCCTGAGTTTAAATGTCCCCTTTACCAAGGCTGAGACTCGAGCAGTCTGGCTCCAGTAAGTATTGTCCCCCAGAAGCTTCATGTGAGTGTTCCTCTTGCCTCCCTTAGTGTAGCAGATGCTGCTGTGTAATTCCTGCATCATCTTGTCTGACTCCTCCGAGGGCAGAAGGCCGAGCCGCCCTTGTCCAAAGAGCTGAGGCAGGAGCAGAGGTTCTGAGCAGCACCCAGTGACTGTCCTTCCCCCTGTCGCCAGGCAGCACTTGCTTCCCGGGGACCTGCTGGTGCTGAGGCAGGCCAGCCACTGACGGGGGGACCTGGCCAGCAAATGTCTTTGCCCCAGAAAGATTCTTGCTAACCTGCCCGCAACCTGGGAACAGGGATCGAGCGAGGCTGGCCCTGCAGTGGCTGTGGGGGCGGTACGTGCCTACTGCTGTGTGTGGGTGCTAGCCAGCCTGCCCGCCCAACCCCCGTGGCTCCCCCAGGGTCCCCACCAGCTGCCACTCTTCTTCTGGGGGCTCTGAGCCGGCTGTCCTGCCAGGCCGGCTGCCTATATCCCGGGAGCAGCCCCCTGCTTCCTATACAAACTGCAGTGACATGTCCGTGTGCGCAGTGAGCAGGCACCACGCCCCTCTGCTCCATGGTTAGGAGCACGGGTCCCCATAACAACTGCAGGCTCATTCCCACGCTCTGGGGGCAGGGGCTTGGCTGGCAGCTCTCTGCCCAGGTGGTAAGATGGTCATTCAAAGGGATCCAGAAGGCTATTGAAGTGACCTGTTCCTCTTTCTGGGCCAGGGCTTTCTGGGAAGCTGCCAAACCCCATCCCACCCCTGCTGGGCGTCTGTCACGAACACTGGGGTGTTGGCGGTCAGTGCAGGTAACTGCCTCGGCCTGTAATCGCCCTGCGCAGGCGGGCTGGCTCGGAGAGCGCACCTGCCTTCAGCGACATGGTTTTTGCAGCCCGTTAATGGAATTGAGATTGGGGGAGTGGGAGACCTGAGGCGCATGGGCTTTGAGCCTCTCCTGCCTTCCCTGCTGCTGGCTTTGGGTCACTGCTGCTCGGTGTAGGGGGGATGACTTCTGGTGCCCTTAGCTACCACCCACACACACTTGCTCTCTGCTCAGAGCCCCCTTGGCCCGTGCTGAGCTCCACCCTCCTGTCCCCAGAGCACCCTTCTTTTCAGGCTCTGCAGCCCAGGCCCTGCTCTGCTGCTCCCTGGAGTCAGGCTCCTTGGCTTACGGCCCCCCGCAGATGAAGGTTGCTGGAATTACACTGTCCCCAAAGCAGGGTGCTCAGCGGGGTGGGGGTGGTTCCTGGCCCAGCTGCTTTGCTGGCTTGCTCCAAGCTGGCACTAGGAGGCTGTATCTTCTCAGCTTCGTGCTGCTCCCACATGCATGTGTAGGAGACTGGTAAGAGCAGCCTGGACACCCTGGCCTTGCTGCTGTCCTGGATCCCCTCCCCCTGTGACAATAAATATCTGCCTAAAGCACCATGCTGCCTCGACTGGTTTCTCGCCTGCAGCTCCAGGAGCCCTTCCCATCTGCGGCGGTGAGACGGGCGGCCCTGTGCTGGGATGGCCGGGGCAAGGCTAGCGCTCAGCGTGTCACTGAGCCCCTGCTTCCCCCCGGGGGGCTTGAAATCGCCTTGGAGCCACGTGTCAGCTCCCTGTGGGACCATCACAGCCCCTGGCAATCCTTGGGCATGGTCAGTGCTGCTACCAGCGTACCCGTTGCCTGGGCCAGCTCTCCCCCTGCGGGTATGGGACAGCAGCCTGCTCACGTGCTCATGCTGGCTGGCTGGGCGAGTGCCTCCCCAGGACCCAGTCCAGGCAGCTGTTTTCTCTGACGAAAGGGCTGTGGCTGCAGGCAGGGGGTAGTTCAAACAGTCCTGGCTGTGGGCCCAGGGATCGTGGGGGATGGGACCAGGCTGGGGTGAGCTTGGTCGAAGCCTTCAGCTTCCCCGGGGTCTGAATTTGTGTTTGGAGCCATCCAAGGGGAGGTAGCCACGCTGCAGAACAGCTGCTGCTGTTACCCCATGGCCCTGCGGGGGCTGGTGCTGCCTGGACAGATCTGACACCTGGGGCAGGATTATCCCCATTTCAGAGCTGAGTGACTTGCCCCGAGGCCTAACTCTCAAACCCCTTCCTCCTCGGCCCCAGCCTGCCCATCCCCCGTCACCAACCTGTCCCACCGCAGGACTCCGGCAGCAGCCGCAGGTCCCGGTGCGGTTTCCCACGTCAGTAATGGCCTAGTCCCTTGTCACGGGCTGGGCTGCCTCACTGGAGCCACGCAGGAGACTGACCCTTGGGGGTGGAGCTCCTGCAGCCTGGGCCAGCACATCAGCCACAAGCCCGGCACCCCCTCACTGGCTCTACTCTGGTATAGCACCATGTCTGGGGGGTGCCCTCCCTGCGCCTTCCTCCACCCTGCATGGGCTGGCTGCTGCTATTGCTGTCCCCTGGCGAGGAGAGGCGAGGCAGATCCTGTGGGACAGTGCCCTCCCCCTTCCTGGGGAGACTGAAGCCAAGTGGGCCCCCAGCCTTCCTCCCCTACTGACAGTGCCTGCTCACTGCCCTTCCCGGTCCTCAGCCCTGCACTCTGAAACGTTTCTCTGGGGGTCCTCAAAGGGTTGAGCGTAGCCAGTGATTCCCAGCTGGGCTCCTGGCCTCACTGGGGCTCTCGCTCTCTCTACGACATGAGCGCTACGAAGGAACCCCACAGAACTAGACCCGAACAGGCCAGGCCGAGCTACGGCCGCACGCTGCTGCTCTGGCTGGGTTCTGGTGCCATCGACAACACGGCTGGAGCTGGCCTGGAGACTGAGGTAAGTGGTACTGTAGACCTGGCCTAAGAGAAAATCTGAGCGGTGGGTGATGAGTCTCAGCTGCACATCCACTGTTCCCCATTGGAGGGGTGCGTGGGATGGAGTGTGAGCAGTGCCGTCTTGTTGAATGGGTGTTGGACGCAGAACGGGGTGGTAATCCTTGTTCTTTATGTTGTAAGGCTGTGACAGGGTTCGCTCACCAGTGGTGCCTCCTGCTGGCTGTCTCAGGAATTAGCTCTCTTAGCGGCGTCCCCTCTCCTGGTGGTGCCTCTCCCGTTGTCATCTCCCCCTGCACACCCGCATGAGTCCAGGGCCCCCAGCGTCCTCTTCATGACTCAGCCCTCAGGCTCTGTCACTCTCTGCCGGGGGAGGATTTCACCTCAGTGGCGGGACTGGTGAGACCGAGTGGGCTACTGCAGCCAGGTCTGGGCTACGTTTTAAAAAGGGTTCTGGTGAGGGTGCCAAAAAGAGCCACCCCAATGAGTTGCGGGCGGAATAAAATGCCTCAAACGTAGGGCCTTGAGGCCCTCAGTAGGTGCAGCTCGGCAAAAGGAAGATTGATGGACGTACAGTGCGCAAGTACCTTCATGTGGTGAAAAGGCTGGGGCCGAACAGGCGCTTTAACGCTAGCAGAGGACGGCAGATGGAGAACTATGGTTGGAACCGGATCCACTGAAATGGGAAACGGGGCCCAAATGTTGAAGTGGGGTGATCAGCCACTGGACGGGGCGGATTCGCCAGCTCTTGAAGGCTTCACATCACAGCCGGCCGCTTTTCTGGAAGATGCTTTAGCCAAACAAGTTACACTTTAGTCAAAAGCAAGTTCCTGGGCAGGCTCCCTCCAGGGTGAAATAACAGGGCCTGCCTGTGTGCTACAGGTCAGACCAGATGAGCGAATGATGGCTGGTGGCCGTGACTGCCCTCAAGCTGGGACAGTGCTGAGCGCTCTGTGCACAGCGGGTGCCATAGCCCTGCCTTCCAGAGCTCCTGATGGGGTGTGGAGGGCCGGGGAGTGTTTTATGCACGGCAGCAGGGGGCTGCTAGCTAGGCGGCAGATGCAGAATGGCACAGCCTGGCACTAGGGCAGCCACCTCACGTTTGGCTTGTGCCTGGGCAGGGACCCTGGGCACTCTGCCACCCTATCACGTGCAGGGTACTGGAGCGCTGGGTGAAGGCCATGGAGCAAAGGGCCTCTAGGACCTGGTTCGTGGACTCGGTACTGCATGGCCAAACTGGGTTAGTGGAATGGGCAGTGGGCCAGTCTGGCTTTGGTTTAATGGCGGCACTGTGGGCAGTGAGTAGGAAGGTAACAGTGGAGCCTGGTGAAACACCTGCTGGTGAGCCACTCAGGAGGTTGAGAGACCAGGCCTGACGCATTAGCTGGGAAGATGCGCCATCTGCCCAGCTGTTGGACCGGGGGGGAATGAGCAGAGCCAATGCAGCAGGGGGCTGCTCACGAAGACCAGAGTGACACACAGGTGCTCACTTGGGTGGGGGCTGAAGACACCAGGCCATTCTTAAGTTTACCAGTGCAGCTGGCACTCGGCTAGGCAAGGCCACAGTCTGCTTAGCCTGGTAGAACCCTTTTCTCCCACACTTTGCCTCATTTCCCACAGGGCTTTGGGGTGAGGCGCCGTATGAACCCAGGTCACCGCTCCCGAAGGGGTGAGCTGCCAGTGCCGACCCTGCTGCGTAATGGCGGCTGGCTCACGGGATGCCATAGGCTGGTGGCCTGGCCTGAGAGTGGGAGAATCAGGGGATGTGGCCCAGGGAGGAGCAGGGCCTGTCAGAGACCAGTGCGGGGCCATGGGCGCCAGGTGCACTGAACTGCACCAGCACGCACGGGGCAGCAGCTCGCTGGTGCTTGCCTTGTGGTCATGGCTGGGCCGCTGTCACGAGAGCAGCACGTCCCCTCACTGAGGTACCCCCAGCACCTGTGCCGCTCTGCCCACAGCCCCAAAGAGCAGGCTGTGCTGGGAGCGCACGTGTGTCAGGACAGGCTTGGAAGCATTTGCCCTGGGGCCTGGCACTGGGTAACAAGAGGCAGAGCCTGAGTGCTCTCCGCCAAGCTGCAGGAACAAGGGCATGGGGACCCCTGCGTAGCAGGGAGAGGAGAAAGGCGGCCAAGCCGAGAGCAAAGCTCCTCAGCGCTCAGACAGCCGTGGGGGTGGCACTACTGCTGCCAGCACTGTGGCTGTTCTGGGCAAAGCAGGTACTTCTGCCCCCCGGGATGTCACTCCAGCAATAACAGGCACTGGAAGTCCTAGAGCAGCCCCTGCTCTGAAGCTCAATTGACCGGGCTCCTAGTTCAGTGTGAGAGATGAACCCTTCCTTGTGGCTGCAGGCCCAGACCCAGGCACTGGAGTGGTCCTATGTCCAGCCAGCCCCCTCGCTCTATATTCACACATGCTGCAGGCAGGTTTGGAGCACAGGCAGCTACCCCTGTTGCAGGCCTTGTGTGGCGGTTTAGCTGCACTGGCTGTAAGCCCTGTCCCAAAGAGCCTGCAGGAAGCTGGAGCCCAGCTGCAGTGGGGGGCGAGGGGGAGAGAGCATGTGGGGGTACCAGCCTGGCACGGTGGCTCTAGGACTCTGGCGCTCAGTTTCCAGAGTTAACATCACAGCTTAGCCAAGCCAGGCCAGTCCTTGCAGAGAGTGTGGGGCGTATAACTGAGGGGTCAGGCCTGGGGAGAGGGACAAACAAGGCTCTGCTGCTGCCCTTGGCTGCAAGCACACAGGAGGGCAGAGCTGGGCATGGGAACCAGTTCTGCTCTCTCAGCCTGGCCCAGAGCAATTCTGCAACCCCAAGCAGCTGTGGGGCTGCGCCCTGCCCCAGTTAGAGAATGGAAGGGAGTTGGGGCCCTGGAGTTGTCCCGGAGCTCCTAGCCCAGCCAGCACCAGTCCCTGGTGGCTGCATGAGCCGTGCCACTGGGCGGGCTGGTAACTGCTGCCGTGTGGGGGAGCAGCCTGGGGGCACCAAAGATCCCAGGACCAGGGGGGTGCTGAGTTCGCTCAGCCTCACCCCCTAGGAGGAGGTGAGCTATGCAGCGTGGGGTGCGTGGAGCGGGGGCCTGGGACGGGACCAGGTGCTGAAGCAGCAGCGTCTCCTCCGTGCCATTGCAGTGCGTACCTGCAGCGGGGCTGAACGGGCTGACCCCATCACCCCGTGCCTCAGGGAGAGGGGCTGGGCTGCCCTAGCTGTGCTCAGACTGGGGCATGCCCCCCACCTCACAAGCTCCCTATCCGGTCAGTGGGGTGCCCCTCCCTAGGGCCTGTGCATCCCACTAAGCCCATCTCACACCCAGGCTGTCCCCCCAACAGCACCTGCTCACGTGTGCCACCACATGCCAACGCTGTGGGCAAGTGTCCTGGAGATGGTTTGGCAGCGCTAACGCTCCCGGCTCCCTGGCTAAATGGGCACTGGCCTGCCTGCCCACGCTGCAGCGCATCCCACAGCAGCCACAAACCTGGACACAAACACTCACCCCTGTATACTGCCCCCCCCTCCCACCACGGAGACCCACAACCACTGCCCTGGCCGGCAGACCGACAAACGGGTGGACGTGCCAAACCCTGGAGCATCAACACAACAATCACAGGGCCAGCCACACGCTAACACCCACACACACACCAATCCTCAAGGAACCCGACCCACACAACAGAAAACAGCATCCTCGGCAGGTGAGCTGCACCCCTGCAGGGCTGCCATCACCCAAAGACTTTCCTCCCCCTGCCAAGGCTGGTAGGGCCCAATCCTGCACTGGGCGTGGGCTGGACTTAATGACCATTTCCAACACCTCTGGGCGTGGACTTCCCTGAGGAGGCCCCACCGCCTCCCGCCCGGAGAGAGCAAGACCTCAAGGGTTTATCTGAAATACAAATAACCGGTTTATTTAAAAAGTGACAATCACATAATTCATCCTGTGAGAAGATCTGTAGAGCGTCTGCTCGAGACTTGGCCCCCGCAGTCCCGGCTGACGTCCAGGAGCGCCAGGTCCTGGGCTGGAGTGTGAAGGGCTGCACAGAGAGGCAGACACAGGTTTGATCCATTGACAGGTCAAAGCCACCACTCTTGAGCCAGTCAAGAGCCAGCGGAGAGATTAACACTCACATCCCAGCAGCAGCAAAGAAAAATTCACTCAACTGAGAAAAATCACTGAGGTACAGGACATGGTGAGGGGCTGATGACCCAGCCGTTAGTCCGCGTATCGCCAGCGGCCTCGTCATGAGACACACGCAGTTAGAAAAATAATACAAACCAAGGTCTCTAGAGCACTTTGATTCTTACACAGTAGGAAATAGATCTGCATCCATTTGATTCAGAGAAAGCAATTTGGTTTGTGAGTGCTGATTATCCCTGCCCGGCCCCCAAGAACAATGCAGCGGCTGGGTCGTGCGCAAGCACACGCGCTCTCAGTTTTACCTAGGTTTGTGCCTAGGACTATAAAGCGAGAAGACTCCCTCCACCCTGTCCCTGCTTTACGATAGCTCCAGGTGCCTTCCTGTCTCCCCCCAGCCTGCGGGCGAGGGTCATTCGTGCTTGAGGCCGTTCTGTTGCTTTGGCTGCAGGGCCCTGGGCAGTTTTTGGTTGATGAAGAAAGCTTTAAGGAAGAGGTCTCTGATGATGGAGGGCAGATAGTGGTGGATGAAGTAAATGAGCCACATGCCCGCCCCCGGGTAATAGCGCGCCGCCGGACTGGCGGAGATGAGGGCGTCGGTGATGCTGTTCACCACTAAACTCAAATCCTCATTTGCAGTCTTCATGAATTTCACAAACTGCTTGTTGATCTCATGGATGTACTCCTCCCCGTAGGCCTGCAGCAGGTCGGCGGGCAGGCTGGCCAGGAGCTGCTCCTTCTTCTCATGCCAGTAGGCAGGGTTGCAACTCGTACCTAGAACGAACCAAACATCCTTAAGCCCTCGTCCCTGCTGCCCGGGGGAATGCAGAGAGCGCAGCACCTCCCTCCTCCAGCCAGGGCGTCCAGGGCTAGCAAACCTAGGGAGCCGTCCCTCCTCCCAGCCGTGAGGTCAAGAACCGGCCCCGCTGGCCTGTGCTCATGGCAGGAGGGGTGGGGGGGTCATGCAGCGGTTCTCATCACATAATCCCTTCTAAGGGCCAGGCTGCTCAGTAAGCAACGCGAACACGCCACTGCTCAGGAACGGCCTCCGGTTCTCAGGGGCCATCTACGCAGCAAAAATACTGCGCGGCCCAGAGCCTGGGTCAATTGACTCTGGCTTGCGGGGCTCACGCTACAGGGCTGAAACCAGCAGTGTAGCTGCTCGGGCTGAAACGCAGGGAGTGGGTCAGAGCCCGGGGGGTCCAGCCCCGGAGCACGAGCCCTGCAAGCCCAAGGCAGTCGACCCTGGCTGAGACTCGCTGCCATGGGGTTTTTGGCTGTGTAGACGTACCCTCTGGACACAAGTTGGTGACCCGTCCCCGCTGGGTAGAGCCCTACCAAAGTCAAGGTCCAGTTTGGTCAACTTCATGGTCATAGGAATTTAAAATTAGTCAATGTCACGGTTTCAGTGTCTACACCTGAAATTTCACAGTGTTGTAACTATGGGGGGCCTGACCCAAAAGGGGGTCACAAAGCTGTTGTGGGGAGGGGGGGAGTGCCACCCTCACTTCTGAGCTGCCTTCAGCCCTCATCCTCAGTCCTGGATTCTCCACTACCTCAGTGTCCCCCGCACGCTGCCTCGGCATGCACCTCATGGCCACGTAAGGGTTCGTCTGCACAGGAACCTTATTCCGGACTAAGATGGGGTGTGAATTTACAATAGAACAGCCAGTCCAGAACAGCTCCAAGCCCACCCTCCTCCTTTGGGCAATGCAGTGCAAGGATTTTTAAAAGTAACTAGTGGCACCCAGGGTGCAGCCCTGCCTCCGGCTGACATTCCCCCAGGGACGTATCTCGCTGCCCTCGCTCTCTTTGATCTAGCTGTGAGTTGTGGATTCTGGGGTTTCAGTTTTTTCCGTGACACTCCCTGCCCACTGTTGCTCTTATACAATAACTGTTAAGTAACAGCAGCATAATGACAGGGCGAGACAAACAGCACACGGACGACATGTGCAGATGGTGACACTAAATTGACAGGAGTTGCTAACATCAGTGAAACCCAACAGCAGGCCCCAGAGAGACGAGACACGCGGCCGGCAGGTAAAGTGAGAGTCAACCTGCAAAAAGATTGCTAAAGAGCTGGGGAAAATAACCCCAAGCCTAGATCCGCCCTGGGAAGCAGAACTGCTGAGACTTGGGGAGAGTAAATTAGGCTATTGCAGAGCGAAAGCACCACTTCATCCAGGAGCCAGAAGGCTGCTTAGTGCCCCATCGAAACAGAGCAAGGACAAGATCTCTGGCCCAGAGAGACACCACACGGCCAGGAAAGTAGCCGCCAGGTAAGTTAGTTCCACGATATTAACATCCCGTCTCCCCTGCTGACCTGCCCCCCACGTTTGGACTGGCTGGGGTTCAAATAGCAAAATCTGTCCCTGGTGCTCTCCCCGGGAGTGGAGCAGAAAAAGCCCCGTGCAGTCGTGGTCGGAACTCGTGTCAATGCAGCCCCGCTCTGTACAGCTCCGGGGAGCGACCAGCTGGCAGGTCTCCCCTCACACCAGAGAAATGCTCCTCTCGAACCCGGGGGGCGAACACGCCTGGAACGTGGGGTTCCGTTCTGGGCACTTCTATGGCCAACGTGCAGATAGTTCAGAGCAGAGCAACTGCCGGGACCGGGGCCGGAGGGATGGTTAGCACAGGACAGAAAAGAGCGAGGTGCGGCCGAGGGACAGCTAAGGCCAGACGTTCTAGAGAGGCTCAGCATCGCATCCAGCAGCTCCCGGTGTTCTTACTGTGGCCACGAGGGGGACGTTCTGGCAGCCTCCCCCTTAGGGTCTGGGCAATCAGACAGCACCGCGCAGTACACAGAGCTCCCAAAAGGGAAGCAAATGACAGCGGGGGCTGTGCCATTAGAGAGTTCAGGGTTCTAGGCCTGGCCGTGCCTGGAGTGATCTTGAGCAATCTCTCCGTGATCTGACCTTTACCGAGAGGCGGACGCGGCTGGTCCTTTCCTCCTCTCCTGTACAGACAGAGGCTTTAGTTAACAACGGCTGTGAAACGCTCAGTAAACATTCGGGGGGCCAGCTGGGACTGGGCCTCTTCCCACACAGCAGGTTTTCGGGAGCCGGGCGTGCATGGCGTTCCCTGAGACGCGCACCCTTGTGACAACCTGCCCAACGCACCACGTGTCCCCCCAGCACGGCCCGGCTGGCAGGCGAGGGGCTCTTACCAGTTTTGAAGTAGCCGGGTAGGATCACGCTCACTTTGACCCCCCAGGGCTCCAGCTCGCTGCGGAATGTGTCCATGAGGAGGGTGAGGGCGGCTTTCGAGGCCCCGTACGCTGCTAAACAAGGGTACGGCATGTCGCCTTGGGGAGAAGAAAACACGCGGGCCGTTGCTGCGGGGGCACAACAGTATCCGAACCCCTGGGGCCCGGTCCTGTGTGGTCCAGCACTTCCACACAGCACAGCTGGGCACACAGATTGGCATGGCCTCTCCAAGAGACACGGTATGAAACTCGGGACTGTCACAGCCGAGACCTGAGTTTGAGTCCTCACTCCGCCTCCAGCTGAGAGTGCCTCAGCCCCGGCACTGCAGCCCCCACTGGCTTCCGGCTAGAACAACGGGCGAGTGTCAGGAGGTCACTTCTCCTCCCTAAAGACCTCCGTGGCTTTGGAGCAAGTTACCTAAAGCCACGCCACCCGCCCAGAGAGGATGGACCCGCCTGCCTCCAGGGGGAGACGTGTGGCAGCAGGGGTGGGAACTTCTTGGCAAGCAGCACAAGGCTACAGACTTGCCTCCAGGGGGAGAGACCGACCCCAACGCTTGGAGCTCTGCCTTCAGAACAAGATGCAAACCTCACAATGGCAGCTGGGGACGAGGGAGCAACATGAAGGAGGCAGCTAGCCCCCTTGCTGGACTCTTCGCTGTGTTTGCTGCTCAGACGCTGCGGCCACAGGAGGATGACCAGGTGTCCGGTTTTCGACTGGAACACCCGGACGAAAAGGGACCCTGGCAGCTCCGGTCAGCACCGTTAACAGTCCAGTCGGTGGTGCTGCAGGGTTAGGCAGGCTAGTCCCACCCTGTCCTGGCTCCTAGGCGAGGGGTGGGGGCTGGAACGGGGCCAATGGGAGCTGCAGGGGCGGTGCCTGCGGATGAGAGCAGCGTGCAGAGCCGCCTGCCGTACCTCCGCCTAGGAGCCAGAACTGCTGGCTGCTTCCAGGGCGCAGCGCGGAGTCAGGACAGGCAGGAAGCCTGCCTTAGGCCCCCCACTAGGAGCTGTCTGAGGTAAGCCCTGCCTCAGCCCCCGCAAACCCAGAGCCCACTCCTACACCCCAAACCCCTCATCCCCGGCCCCACCCCAGAGCCTGTACCCCCAGTTAGAGCCCCCAACCCCCTGCCCCAGCCCAGTGAAAGTGAGTGAGGGTGGAGGAGAGCGAGCCACTGAGGGCGGGGGAATGTAGTGAGCAGGGGGCGTGGCCTCAGGGAAGGGGCGGGGCTAGGGTGTTCGGTTTTGTGCAATTAGAAAGTTGGTAACCCTAGGCCACAGGTGCCAGATAAAACATACATTATTGGGGATCGGGGCAAACTCGGCTTGATATCTACTAGCTGAGGCCAGTATGAAAAATACTGGGACCCTACTGCGAAGCTCACCATCAAATCTGCCTCCCCGGCAGCTAGGAGAACGGTGCATGTTTGGTTTCTGTTCAGGGCTATTCTATGGGATAACTCCTGCTTTTGGCCCGTAGGCTGATCGCCAAGTCCCTGGGTGTGGACTGGGGGAAATACGTGGCACATTTCAACTTTTGGGAGAAAAAAAAAATCCAAATCCAAAATATTTGGGCTGAAAACCAAAATATTTCAATTCCAACGTGCTGCCTCGGTGCCTCATGGGAGTTGTAGTGCGGGCAACTCGTGCTCCTGTTCTTTATAAGCCAGGCTCCCTGGGTCGGACTACATCTCCCATAACACACCATACTCTCTTGTGGGTGGGATGGCGGTTGTGCTTCATGGCAGATGAAGTCTGGCTGGGGTGCCTGGCCCAGAGAGAACAGTGGGTGTGGGTGTGTGTGGGTGGAGGGGGCGGCTTTGGGAAATACTCTATGAGAATTTAAGCCCTGGACATCAGGCAACCAAACTACAGCTCCTATGAAACCTCTGTCTGCCAGAAGCTGGGCGTGGACGACAGGTGATGGATCATTCGCCAATTGCCTGTTCTGTTCATTCCCTCGGAAGCACCTGGCTTTGGCCACTGTCGGAAGACAGGATACAGGGCTAGCTGCACCATTGGGCTGACCCAGTATGGCTGCTCTTATGAGGCCCTCTGGCCCGGTCCCCACCCAGCCCCACTTTTTCCCCACCGGGTGGGGACCGGGTCTTTACCTGCCGGGCTGCTGACGGTCACAATCCTGCCCCGGGCGGAGCGGAGCAGGGGCAGCAGCGCTTTGGTGAGCTCAAGCGTGCCGAAGAAGTTCACGTCCATGCAGGTGCGGAATTTGCAGAGCGGGGAGAGCTCGGCGTCAGCGATGGTGTCGTCGAAGCCCGCGTTGTTCACCAAACCCCAGAGCCCTGTGGGGAGGGGCCCGGAGAAAGCGAGCGTCGGCAGGATGTAGGCACGGGACTAGCACGGCCTGACGCGACCCCCCCCCCCGTTCGAATGCCCGTGCCGATCGGGGCTGCTTAGGGAGCTCAGTTCTACCCTGAGGCAGGGAGGGGACCCACCATGATCCGTGAGCGATCCCCTCCCCCCAGAGAGTGCTCCCCAGGTCAGGAGGGGACAGCGGTTCAGAGCCAGGCATAGATCGTTTCCATGGACCTGCCAAGCTGCAGCTGGAGCCCAAGGGTGAGGGGAGAGCAGAGTTGGGGGCATAGCCACTGCCAGGAAGGAGGGGGAGAAACAAACACCAGCCTCCCGAGCGGATCATGGTGGGAGGCCGTGGGTGCAGCCTGAGCAGTGTAACCAGAAGGGGCCGGTCTGGGGCCCTGCTCCACATGCTGAGGTCACCGAGTGGGGTGTCTCGCGACGGGCTGCCCCCGGCGTTCGGATGCGGATGGGCGCGCCCGGAAGCCAGGGCTCCTACCTGCGCTCGCCGTCTGGGGCTGGACGAGCTGCTGGGCTTTCCGGATATCTTCCGGTTTGGTCAGGTCCATCTGCAGCAGCGTGAGGCTCGGCGAGCAGCGCTGCCGGAGCTCCTTGGCGCCAGCGCTCTGCAGGTCCAGCACGCTCGCAAACACCTTAAAGCCCATGGAATCCAAGTGGCACGCGGCCTGCTTTCCAAACCCGGAATCGCACCCTGCAAGAGCCCAGAGAAGACTTAGAGAGAGCCAGGGTGCCAGGCACTACCCGCTGCCTACAACCCGGCCCGGCTGCAGCCTCCACATCCTGAGCTCCAGGAAACAGGGACGGGCATACCCCCCTCCCCCCCCAGCCGGGAAGATGCCCTGAAAGGGCAGCCAGGATTATCTGTGTGGGGAGTTTGGGGGCGGTGTGAAGCCATGACAGCTAGATCGACACCACATCCTCCCCCTACACCTAGAGGAAAGGTAGCTAAGCCATCTTGCCCTCTCACTCCCCACCGGGCACAGCCGAGGATCTGGCCCAGAGGGGGACGCGTGCACAGAGACCCTCTGCTGGAGCAGCACCTGTGCGCCTTGTGGGTAGGGGGGCAGGATCTACTTCATGGGGATTTCGTAGCAACAATAAACCCTTTCATGAGAACCATTCAAAGGGCCTTCGAAAGGCAGGTAAGTCTCATTATGCCTAGGCCCAGTGACTTGCCAGGTTGTCACAGGGAGCTGGTGATTGAGGGGCAGAGGGGGTCCTTAGCTGTTAAGCAGAACTCCCCATTAATTACAGCAAAGAATGGCACCACACGGTCCAGAGCCAGGCGCAGAACCCAGGTGCCTGGTTCCCCATCTGTTCATCCAGCCACTGGGCAGCACTGCCTCGAGCACCGCAGCAACTCCCAGCGGAGTGCCAGCAGTGCCTGGGAGCCCAGCTGTGAGATTTGGCAGCCAGCGTGGGGCAGGTACGTTTTTAAACCAAAGTACGACGCACCCCAGAGACCCCACTGCTTTCATGGGCCTCAGACGGGGTGTCTAGAGAGAGTTTCTGGTCCTGGGTTAACTTGAGAGAAGTAGCACAACTGGAAATGCTACTCGAGACATTCCAGATGTTTGTGTGTCACCCGTGGCTAGGAGCGCTCCCGCGGCGTGCGAGTGCTGGTACGCGGTGCTGGCAAAGCACTCCTGCTGCGAATGCAACTACAGTGGCAAAGCTATACCCATAAAAGGGCAGCTTTCCCGGTCTAGCTCCATTTACACTCTGGGCTTTTGCTGATCAGGACTCAGACCACTTTGCACCCCAACCAACACAGCTCTTCTGGCAGAAGCCTGCAGTGTAGACTTGGCCTTAATTAAGGACTTAGGGCTAGTCTATACTGGCAACGCTAAAGCTAAAGGAAGTGTTGCTGACTTTCATTGCTAGTCTTGTGAGATTGGGCACATGTCACAAAGCCCCAGCTTCTGGAGTCAGGTGATTATGTGAGCGACTTTTTTTTTCTTTTTTTAATGAAAGTTTCTAGCCCTCGTGGTTGTGTGAAAATGTGACTTGAAAAGCCAGATGATGAATTAAAAGAATCCCAAATGTCCACATTTTTAAACCCTCCTGACTTTGTAGCCAACCTCTGAGTGTTGACTGCCTGGGGCTGGCAGTGCTGAGTGGGGAATGCGGTGCCAGCAGGAGCCAGCCCAGGACAGGGTGCTAGATCTGACAGGCGGTATCATCCGGCTGGCCCCTGAGCCTTCCCACTCTCGTCTGGCAGTCTGAATGATCTAGGGTGTGTTTATCTGGGGCTATTTTTAGAGCTGTGCTCGGTGATGGGTTTGGAGATAAATGAGTGTTTTGTTCCTCCTCCGTGAGGTAAAAACAGCAGCTGAGTGACCTAATAAATCTCTGTGCCAAGGTCACGTCCTCATGGGACGGGGGCCTCCTCCCTTGCTGCTTGTCTGCTGCTGAGATCGGAGGGGAAGATTAGGGGGGAGGTAGAGTCTGAGCAGGGCTTGGCTCCAGGGCATGGTGGGAAGGTGTAGACGGGCAGCAGGAGGCTGGGGCTGGTACTGCAGGCCCTGGGAAAGCTGTGTGCATTTGGAGCTGATGACGTTCATGTGGTGGCAGGTGCCCTACTGATAGCCCTGGAGGCTGACGCCCTCGGCCTAGTCCCAGACCAGGTACGGCCTGGACAGCAGCGTCTGCCACGTGCTGCCTCACCAGTGTGCATCAGCCTGCACTGCAGGAGGAGAGGGGCCAGGCTTGTTTGTTCCTGAACCTCGTTGTTGAGCCTAAAGCAGGCCCAACCGCTTGTGGGGAGGTGAGGGGGACGGGACGGACAGACCGGCACCTGTGCGTGCTGGATTTGGGCGGCCATGACCGCTCCCACTGGAAAGAAGGCCTCTGCACTGCTGGGTTTGTGCCATGTGCTGTGGGCTGGGGCTTGGTGCACAGGTATTATCCAGTAGCGGGTACAATAAGTACATTTTAGACAGTTCCACATGTCCAGTCCATGGTAGGCATTCTCCATAAGAAACTGTTATGCGGGAGGCTGGGTGGCTCCCAGGAAATGTGTCTTCGATCTGTGGGCAGCAGCAACGTAGTTTGAAACTGGTGGACTAAATGGGAGAGCAGTTAAATGTCCCTTTGTTTAGTGATAGCTGAAACAGTAGAAGCCACTGCCCAAATCACAGGTCAGTGTGGCGAAACTGGAGGAGGAGTCGAGCCATGCAATCTGTGGGGTTTTCCCAGGGGTCTTACTGCAAACACAATGGGGCTGTGTAGGGTTTGGTGGAGCTGTATGTGTGCGCTAAACAGAAACAGCAGAAAAGAGGAGAGGGCCCAGAGAAACCACAAATCCAAGCCTCTTTCCAGCAAGCACACTGCCCAAAAAGCTCTCTGTCTCAGCTTTCTCACAGGGTCGTGCTCTTAGCACTGAGCACAGCAGAAGTCAAACAGGACTTTCCGTGTTCTTTGTCAATAAACAGGATTGCATCACAGAAACACCTGACTTCATCATCAATGTCTCCTCTTAACAAAAACAACCAGCAAGGACCTGAATATTGGCTAACATCTTGGGCTAAAAAGGGGAAGACTAAAGCTTGTCAACACGGGCACTTTACAGCGCTGCAACTTTCTCGCTCGGGGGCGGGGGGTGAAAAAAAACCCCTGAGCGCAGCAAGTTTCAGTGCTGTGAAGTGCCAGTGTAGACAGTGCCCCGGCGCTGGGAGCTGCGCCCCTCGTGGAGGTGGGTTTTTAGAGCGCTGGGATCGCTGCCAGTGTAAACTAGGCCCCACTCCAGCGTCCCAGCCCCGGTCATTCTGGGGCTGAGGCTGGTCAAGAAACGCTCCCTTCCATTCGATTGGCCCAGCAAGGTGTCTTGGATCCCTCTCGGAAATCAGACTTCCCGGAAAAACTCCCCGTCGGGCAGAGCCCAGGCCTGGCCAATGTCTAGCTGACCGGTGACCGCTGAGACCGGTGCGCATGGAAACACTCAATTAACTCTAGCCACGGCTAGTGCTCCAGGTAGAGTAAGCGTTTAGCACCCTTTCAGCACGTTGCGTCTCCGAAGTGTGATGCAAAGACGAGCGAGCACTGCTGGAATCTCCGTCATCTTCACTTTGATTTGAAACCCACCAGGCTGCTGCAGAGACCGTCAATAAAGTCAACAGCAAGTGAGTCAAGCACAACCACGCCCCCCGCCCTCCTTTCCCAACAATTCCTTAGCCAGTAGGACTCACACCTGCTGTCCAAGGAGCCAGGGTGCCGCAGAGCAGGGACAGGGTGTCTTGGGTGCTGGGGGAGGGCAGTGACTGCTCAGCAATAAGGATCTCCTTTCCGTCCACGCGCTCTGAGCCCCCGGGGCCGGAAAAGCTCAGTCTGCAATGGTGAACACCTGGCTGGCCGGGGCAGTTCTGGGCCCCCAACGCACTCCCCTGCCGGGGGCTAGGGGGACCAGAGAGCAAGTGTGAAAAATCGGGACGGGGGTGGGGGGTAATAGGAGGCTATATAAGAAAAAGACCCACAAATCAGGACTGTCCCTATAAAATCGGGACATCTGGTCACCCTACTGGAGGCAGAGCAGGCCACAGGGGATTTAAAACAGAAGCAGAGCCCAAGGGCAGGCCAGAACACGGGATTGCACCAATGGGGCAGCACCAGTGCAGCGTAGACGCACCATGCCGGGGTGAGGAGTGACTCGCCCTGGTCTCACTGTGCCTCCAGGCTGTGCTGTGGGAAGGAGGAGACGGCAGGCGAGAGGCCCAAGAAGAGCAGGAAAGCCTAGCACCACATCCCATCCCTGCCTACTCCAGACACACGCCCCTCCTCACAGCACCGAGAAAGCAAAGGCTCCCCTGATCCGGGCAGGACCCCAGCACTAGAGCCCCCCCCCGAGCACCGTCTAAGGCTGCCCAGTGCCAGGCAGGACAACGGCTCGGCGTGCTCTGGGGCCCTGTGCAGAGGGAGCTCCGGGGCAGCAGCGGGGTCAGTTAGGGGTACGACGCTGGAGCCGGGCCCAGGCCCCGCTGGCCAGCCCCACGGCTGATTCTGCTGGGCCAGGGATAGTCTTGTGTCCGTCTGTGGCTCTCACGCAGGGGCCAGCGTCTGAGGGAGCTGCCGGGGATCAGGGGGTGCAGGGTATTGCGTGTGTGTGTGGGTGTGTGGGGGGGGTGTTCTAACTCTCTTCCCCACGTGGGTATGACCAGGCGTTACCGACCAGCACAGCCTCCTGGGGCAGCTTTGAGCTGCAGCGCGGCTCTGCCCACTGGACGCCCGGCCTGCCCCGGGGAGTGGGCTAGCACAGGGGGCAGGCCCAGAGAACTGCCCGCACTCCCGCAGCTCAGAGCAGCCTGGCCCAGCAGAGGGGCGACCCCAGGGGCGCTGGGAAGGGACTGGCTGGAGCAGGGCTGAGCCGAGGCCCAGGCGGGGGCCGGTGCGTGGCAGGCGGCAGCAAGGGGCTAGCGGAGCCTAGCACCGGGGAAGATTACGGCAGTGCAGAGCAGCGATCCCGTGGGGCCGCTTAGCGCTCTGTGCACCTGCAGGTATCATGTCCCGGGGAGGAGAGAAAGGAATGAAAACAAACAATCCCACCGAGGTACAGTGTGTTCTCAGTGCTGATGGCAGGGCTGATAGCTCCTGGCGGGAGGCTGTGCGCCGCTGGCTGGCAACATTAACCATTAACAGGAGCGGGACCTGGCCAAGGAACACAGCTCTTGTAATGCAGTCTGCACGCTCCCACGCACA